ACCCAAGTCAGTTATTTCAAATAAAGTGGAGTTTTGCTGGGACTCAGGAGAATGACAAGATAGATCTTTTGGTTTCAACAGAACCTGACTTTGGTGGATTTAAGCAGAAAATAGATTTACAAAAAGATAATAAGGTGTTTTACATAATCACAAAGAAGACTGAAGAACTGGGTTCAGAGTCAACCCAAAACATACCGCAAACTACTTGGCAGAACTTCTACCATCTCCACTGAATGCTGAGTGCTACAACATGTGCCTGTAGTAACCATCAGAATGGGCAGTGCTCAATCTCATTGTCGCTGTCCTGGTTCTCCCTTCCATGTGTCTCTAGGTCTCAATTCAAATTCCAGGGTGAATTTTTTGAGCTTCTATAGTGGAAGGCAGGCCCTGCATCTTCCAAAGACTTACAGTAGAGAATTCCCCAAACATAAGAACATGTAGTGGCCAAATATATGGCAATATTTTACTTAGGCCACCCCTTTGGATATCCTTCCTATATATTTTCATATGCAAACATCGATTCCAGCCTCTCATATAAAAGGTAACCCTTGAAAACCAACGTAGGGTGACTTCCTCTCCAAAATGAGGAAACCCAGGACCTCCTCAATTGAGGCATGCAGCTCCTAGTCTAGGATCCCAGGAAATGCCCAGCCTTCCTCTTCTGTCACAATCACATGCCCATGTTCTGTAACTTATGGACTAAACTGAAAAGTTATTACCAACATGCTCAGTATAAAATTGTAAAGGAAAAGGAAAGTTTGTGGAAATATGTAAACGTAAGCCTGGCATAGCAAGGAAAAGAATATAGGTAGACACTTATGATACTAGGTCATATATATGATTTCTTTTCTCTTCCTACTCACTTAATATTTCTTTGACTTCACTCAGGAACTTTGATTCCATGAGCATCTAACCCCTGGTAGTAGAGCCAGTGTGGCTTTTTGGGATTGGTTATAATTTTTTTTCACTGTAGGTTAGTATTAAAACCCCCCTCTGGTTTCCATCCACATTCTTCCCATATCCGCATTGTGTTATAGTCAATCTGTTTCCCCTAGAGAGTCAGTATCAGTAAAAAATGCAAACTTTTTTATTTTTATTCATTATCCCAATACCAGAGAAGCCCAAGATATGCAAGCAGTTTTCTCAACTTCTAATTTAATATAATCATCCTTGTGTCCCCTTGAGAAAGTATTCCTCCCATGGGTACTAAAGCTTCTTGGTCAGCAGAGCCTAAAGCAACAGGAATGGCAACCACACATTGTGCTTTCTGTTTGCTTTAAAAGTGTGTGTCATGGGAAGCAGCTGCCTAGCACAGGGAGATCAGCTCGGTGTTGTGCGACCACCTAGAGGGGTGGGATAAGGAGGGTGGGAGGGAGACGCAAGAGGGAGGGGATTTGGGGGTATATGTATGCATATAGCTGATTCACTTTGTTATACAGCAGAAATTAACACAACACTGTAAAGCAATTATACTCCAATAAAGATGTTAAAAAAAAAAAACTACTAGAAATAACAAAAAAAAAAATAAGTGTGTGTCATGTTCCATCCTGAGGCTAAACACTGCATCTCACATGCATGTTCTAATGTTCGGTGGCATGTTCTAATGCAATCAGTCCATTTATAGCTGGGGTCCCTTTTTTTTTTTTTTCAAATTGACATTAAATTTTATTTGCTGCACCATGATTACAAGCCTAAAGGTTTTAGAAAATATATTCACTGTTTCTTTTTTTTTCACACACACACACTGTATTTTATTTTTACAAGAGATAAATAAACTGACAGCAAGCATTGTAAATGGATGACCACAACAAAAGCAACAATGATTGCAATTACCAAACACAAAACACACTCATACTGTGTCATAATATTGACATTCAGTCCAGGAATCCTCCACTGTAACAGCTCCTTTACTTTTACCTGGGGTCTTTGAAGTAGCTAGAGGTACAGTGAACAAGGTCCAGCCCTCCAGAGAAAGGGAGGCAAGAACTAGGCTGTGTGTCAGAGTCCTGTCGAGTAACCTGTAGTTTATGGCAAGGCCCAGGGCTAGGAGGAGGTTAGAGAGCCAGGCGTAGGAACGGATGACTGCAGTCAAGCCTCGGAGGGTTGGGATAGATGGCTAATGGCTGGGTCTGTGGAAACCTAGAGCTCTTCAAAGCAACTCGAGTGTGAAATGCTTGGAAGAGAAGGACCAATTCTTGACCCACTTGCTGGTAGACTAAGATTGTTGGTGAACTCCATACTGTGGTTTGAATGTTGATTGACCCAGGAAGTTGGTGGGGATGCATTACAGATCTAGAACATCAGCAGACCCAGTGAAAGGGGCAGGGGAAGCAGGAGCTGAAGACAGAAATTGTGCTGTAGCCAAACATGAAGCCATGTGGAACCTGGTAGGATGACCTAAGCTTGCTCACTTTTCGTATGTGCTAGACAAAGTCTTTATACCATTTTTGGAAGAGAAAACCACAGAGTAGTTCAAGGGAGAAATGTCAAGACTCTCAGTTCCCGACCGAAAAGAAACACTATATGTAAAAACAGTCAAACAAAATGAAAGAATAAAAAGGACTAAAAAAAATAGGCCTAGAGATCTGACACTCCTTTCAGTGGTGAAAGTGACAAAGACATCCAAGGAAGCTATTATGAGGTCATGGCTATATTTAAAGCCAGAATAATGTACGGTTATCTGGGAATGATATAACCAGAGGGGTCCACTGTATCTGAGATCCGACCCATGAAACGTTACACTTGTTTTGAAGTTTCGGTACGACTGGAGGAGTTTTATAGTCGACATTACAAGTACTGAGCACATTACGAAGCTGCTCAATTGATTACTTTTGACAGCACATTTTCCCACGGGTTAGCAGAGGGAAGAGTGTCGGTATAGCTGGATGTCTGGAACTACACGTGATTCGGGAAACCACAAGCTCCCCAAGGGCACTGACCACTCCAGCGTGAACTTACAGGCCTAGAAAGTACATAGAGACTTAACTTCTTTCTGATCCTTAAAATCTAGGTTTAGAAAGGAATGCCTGTGATGTTATGCATCAGCCATGTTCGCAGCGTCTTGTTTTTATGTTCAGAGTGACTTGGACTTACTTCTGTTTAAACAAATACAATTACCATTCCATTGGATTCATTTGGTGGAGAATTTAACTTAAAATGTAAGAATAAAAAGAATAGGGGTTGGAGGTGAGCTAGAATTTTACGATTTTCAGTATCATGTGAATACTGCCAACTTATTTTTTTGCCAACTTAATTTTAACCAATATAAAGTTAATAAAATAAAAATAAAATCAGTGTCCAGAATTGTGAATATTGGAATGAAAGTGAGGATCCAGTACTCACTTCCCCCTCTTTGAAGCAGAAGAATAGCTTTGCTGAAAAATGAAGTATATCAGGAACTCAAATTTAAGGGAAAATAAAAGACTGACAGGTTCTTTCAACATTTTTCTCCCTTTCTTAGCATGTAATTAAATATAACACACATCAGTTTGAATTGTCAACCATTAACTCAACCATAATCATTTTTAGTTAGGAAAGCATGTTGAGTTCTTCTCTCATGTCTCCCACATAACCCATAGAAGTACTCAATAAATCCTTGTTAACTTTGACTTTTTTCTCACTGCAGTAGGATTTACCTAAGTTTGGAAGATCTGCCACACTGGTACCATTTCCAGTCTAGACAGAGACCAGAGACTGTCTCATATTTTAACTTCAAACAAAAGTATATTTGCATATTAAATGAGAAAGCAAGTTTTCAGGGAGTCATTTAGGCACTTCCTCTAGATCCATGCTTTTGAAAAACACGCAATAGAAAACAATAGCTAGAACATAGTGAGAGGGCATAAGGCAGTAAGGTCAGAGACGACAGAGGTGGCTTGCAGACTGAGTAAGGGCTTATCGGTAATGAAAACCGTTAGGGTTTTTAATCTAGGTGAGATGGAAAGCCAGTGGAGGATTAGAACAGAGGAAACAGAATGTGCACTGAAGAGAGAGAACCAAATACGTGGGAGCTGTAAATAGTTCCACACTTGACCATAGCATCACATACTTGGGAGAATCAGGTAACACATAGACTGGAAAGCGCCTATTGATTTTAAGAGCTGCCCGGTGTTCTTACCAATTTCCTTGGACTGGAGAGAGAAGGAGGCAGGGATCATTGAGTTAAGGGGTGGTCTGCAGAGCCTCAGATCTTTTAGAGGCGTTTCAGGGACCTACTGGATAAGCAGGAGTAGAAGACTGAGTGGGAGGATTCTGTGCTCTCCAACCCCTCTTCCAACCAGAGAAGTTGTGCTCTTGTTATTTTTTGTCTTAGGATCTCACATAAGATTTCACTTGAAAAGCAGTGTTCTGCTGCTTTAAAAAAAAATAAAAATAAAAAAGGGGAAGAAAATTAAGATACCTGTGTGGATGATCCTTTCAAGACAGGTGGCTGAGAAAGGAGAGATGTAGCAGTCCTGGGTGTGGTCGGGGGTCGTGGATCTGGAGACAAGGTAGAAATGTTTCTTTTGTTAAGATAGAACCACAATGAGCTTGCTTTTAGGTTGATAAGAAAGAACTGTTAGTGTGTGAGTTTCCTAGAAAGGATGATGGGAAATAATGGGTAATGACTGAGGTCCTATTGCAGATAGGAGGGGGTTGAGTCCATAGCAGACATTAATAGATGTGCATTTTTTTTCAGCTTAAAAGCAGTAAGGGGAAAAGCTCAAGGATTTCCTTTGATTATATTTTTCCCTTTCGGCTTTAAATAAACATTTAAATAAGCACATTTCTTCAGAAAGTTAATTCTCCTATCTAGTTATTGTCTTGGTACTTTAGTCAAGATACTAGATTCTTAGATTATTTTTCTCTTTAAGACATAAACCTTGAGAGGAAGGATCTTGGTTAAGTATGCCATCTATCTTCAAACTCAATTTGACCGAAGGTCAACACTTTTTATGGTTGTAATAGGAATGTATTGAACAAATATTGAAATCTGCTTTCATCTGCTTTCTTTTGTATAGACTCCCAGCGCAGGCTGAGTCTTTGAAATGCCAGATCACTATTGCAGTCTTCAGGACGGCTGAAAAAAATTTATATACTTTTTCCTTAGAATCTCAGGTAAGGAAACTCTATTATCTACTTTAAAACAAACTCTAGCCATTAGCAAGGTTTCCAATCAAGAAGAAACGATCTCATTACTAAACTGGTTTTGTGTTGCTGCCAATTTAGTAGATTTCCTCAAACTTCAGAGAAGGTGGAAAGTAGCCACTCACCGTCTTCTGTCTGTACAGAATCATGGGCCACAGAGACCTCAGTCTTGCTGCCCAGGTAGCATGCACAGCAAAAGCACAGTCAGATAATTGCTCCCTCTCATCCCCATGTCATCCGTTGTTGCTGAAATAGCTGAAATCAACTGTGATTTGGGGCCTGCTACTCAAAGTGGAGCCCAAAGACAGTAACATCAACATTACTTGGGGGTCTTGTCAGAATCTTCTGAATAAGGTTCTTCGAACAGGATCGTTAAGTAATTCATGTGGACGTTAAAGTTTAGGAATCATTGCTTTGGGATATCCTTTGGAATCATTACATACAGGCTGGCTGGATTTCAGAATTCCTCTCCCCAATGGGTAGTGTCTTTCTCTTGTGCATCTTTGGATTTCTAGTGCCTAGCACAGTGCCTGGCACTCGGCCCTTTGATTTCCTTTAATTCCACAGCTCAATCCATGTCTGCTGGATGAGTGAGTTACAGAATCAGCACAGTGTCATAGTATAATCCTACTGGCACCATAAGAAATTCATATGAACAATTTTTCTGAATCTAGCTTTGACTATAATCAATATTTTAGGCTATATATCATGAAATAGAAAATGCTGCTCTAAATTGAGGACCTCTTTATTTCACCTGGAATGGTCTCCATTTTTGTTCTAAGCAGCTCTGCATCTCCACATTCCTATTTTTCTGGGATTCAGCTTATCTCGTGCTATTTAATCTGTTTTTTTTCTCTCTCACTTTCCTTTTGTCCCAGGTGACTGATGCAGGTGGAATGAGGCCCTCTTTGTTATTCTTGTGTCTGTCTTTTCCTTTTAGTGTCATCAAGGTGACTCTTCAGAGGGTGCAATGAGGAATACAGAGGGCTTTCTTCTTTCATCAACGTCTTCAGGAGGTTTTACCATGATTGCAACAATAGCATTGATTTTACATGTTGTCTGCTCTGAGCAGTATGATAAATAAGGCCTTAGCATTATAGATAATGTTTTCTTATTTTTAAACTATTTATGTTTTTATTTCACAAACGCTCTACTATTGCATGCTTTGGAAGGAAAAGTGACAATCTTTCCTTAGGACATTTCTGCTTTGCACTTCTGCTTGTTTCCTTTATAGTCATACTGCAGGCTGTTCAAGTGTAGAAGGTTTTGTGCAATGACGAAGATAAATTATCCCTGCTAGGCACAAAGAAAGTTATTTTACCTGTTGCCTAAATTGAAAAGAAACAAAGAATACTGCTTGGCTTTAACTTGTCAGCAAGAGCTCAGGAGAAAGGAATTTCCTAACAAGTTGAAGAGGTGTTTCTAAAACATCTGTCAACACTAAGGTGAGACGAAGATTGGTACCGGTATAAAACAGAGCTCAGTTTTGACCTCCAGTTTCACCAGAATGAATAGGGAAGGCAAATGATAGCTAGAGTGGTGCCTTCCCTAGTCTACTGGGGAGAGGCTCAGGTGAAATGTTGAAAAGACTCTAACCTTCAAATGCTTTCAGTGTATTCTTGTTGTGTAAATCTCCTGTGTGTGTATTTCCTAGGAGGGGTTAAAGTGGGAGAAGATAAAAGATTTTTTTGTGGTTGCCAAAATTTAGGTAAGAAAACTGGGACTTTAGGAGAGTGAATTGAATAGGCAGTATCCTTGAGTCAAATGCAAGATAGTCAAGTGTCACTGCAGATCCTTATCAGGAGAGAAACTGCTCATGCTTTCTGAAGTGATGGCTGGTTGCATTCTGCTCCAAACATCCATAGCAGTCTCTCCTCAGTGAACATCCCGAAGGACAAAACAGTTCTTAACCGAATAAAAAACACCTTCCAGAATGTCAATGAAACATGTAGGAGATGATTTTTAAAATATCTCCTCAATCTTGGAACTCTTAAGTAGACATAGAACAAATATGTTAAGTGAAATCTGTGCTCCAACCCAGAAGCAACCTAGAGAGAGGTAAACTGACACCTGCTTACATTTTTAATTTATATTTTTACTGCAGAAAGTGAAAAGCATTGCACATCTCCCAGTCAGTGAAAGTTTGTGAGTTCTATTTTCTTTTAATGGCTTGTACGTTGGAAGAATGATTCTGAGGTCAGCCTGGGCCAGACTCTACATCTGATCCCTTGGAACCAGGAATTTTTCCCCATTAGCCAGAGTGAGCAACTCTTCCCCCGGCATTGGGACTATTAAAACATTCTTTTAGATTTGGTTGATTTTAGTCTTGTGATAATGTTTTCCAAAAAAAAAAAAAAAAAAAAAAGCAGTAATAATGTGTTTTGGCCTCAAATTGTTTTTCTCCTTGACTCCATTCCAACTTGGATTCTTCCCAGGAAGCTTGTCTAGAGGTGTGGAAACCAAAGTATATGCGGTCAAATTTTAGTACTGACTTCAGGTTAGTTAGAGCTCTTTGAGATTGAGTGGGAGAGACAGTGTGAGCAGACTCTGGACAGTTAGAGTACAAACTAACCTTACTAACCCCATGCTCTTTTCCTCAGAAATATCTATTGTCTGCATGGAAAAATTACAGATCCTTTTTTTCTTTCTTTCTTTTTTTTTTTTTTTTGCGGTACGCGGGCCTCTCACCACTGTGGCCTCTCCCGTTGCGCAGCACAGGCTCCGGACGCGCAGGCTCAGCGGCCATGGCTCACGGGCCCAGCTGCTCCGCGGCACGTGGGATCTTCCCGGACCGGGGCACGAACCCGTGTCCCCTGCATTGGCAGGCGGACTCTCAACCACTGCACCACCAGGGAAGCCCTCTTTCTTTTTTTTAATCGCACACTCCTTTTAGAAGTTAACTTTTCTCTTAATGCCGCAGCTCAGGTGATCTATGACACATGCTTATTTAAAGGTTCATCTCTCTGTAACTCATTAGGCAAAGGACATTTCAATCTCTTAGAGTCCTTCATTTCTTCAGGGGAAGAAAGGGGAAGGAAAGGCCTCCTTTAAAATAGTAAATGAGGGGATTTGTGGAGAGACAAAAATATTTTTTAAGGCCTTTTTTTTTGCCACTTAGGTCAGTTTTAAGGCCATTAATACTTTGATTTATGTTTGGGGGTAAGAGAACAAAGGAATCAAACTCAGCTGGAGTTGGTTTCCACATGGATTATCAAATACAGACATCAGAACGTTTGTAATTGCGCATTTGTGTAGCCTGTTGATAAAGGGAGACAGCTTTGTGCTGTGGTTCCCTGACTCCTTCCACCTATGTCTTCTCAAACTGATTTTAGCACTTACTTCCAAAACCAGGTGAAGTATCAAAATATTTTCAAGGAGACCAGTGACAGTTCAGAGTGATCAGTGGCAGGGACTTGTGACAGTCTTCCCTTGCCGGTGTCCACTACCCTCCCACGGAGCTGGTGCCTGCTAAGCCCTTCCGCTGTGCTTGCTGATTTCTCCTAATGCCATCCTAATCACGTTGCTTTGAAATAGCCTGGTCATCCTCCATCTTCTGTAACTCCAGGATGAGAACAGCTGCACCACCTTTACTCAGGGCCTGGTGTGTCCAAGGGCTTTAAGTAATACGTGCTGAATTAACAAGGAGGAAACAAAGAAACAGGACTGATAGAAAAAGTGTGGGAATCAAGTAGACTTTGAGAACTGCACTTAGGTCGCTTCCAGAAATAGAAAAGGAGAGAAAACCAAGCCTTTGATTGAACAGGTTTTTTCTCATTCTACGTAACAACTCCTACAAGTTTGATTCAGTGATCTATTTGAGAGGTAATGTGGACACGGCTATTTGGAGGCCCATAGGAGGTAGCCTACCAGCTAAGGGCAAGGCTTCTACGCATGACTTGCACACATTCCATAAGATACTAAACAGTTAGAATCCAAGGCTTTGTGTGAATCTCCTTTCTCCTTTGCCATATGCTTGAACAAGGCAGCAGCCCAGTTTTCCAATCTCGTTATTCTTTCTTGTCCCAGGGTGCTACATTCCAGCCTGGTTCTCCAAACCCTTGCCTCTGCTTTGCTTCCCCTAAGCAGCTGCCCTTCTTGCTAATTTCTTTGACCTCCTCAACTGTACAAAAGTCGTCTGTCTGCTGCACTGTCCAAGTCGATTTGTGCAGTGAGCAAAGACGCAGACTCTCTGTTAGTGCTCTCAAATCTGTGTTCAAGAATGCTGGGACAGTAGGCTGTCTTAGGGTCAGGCAGCGAAGCAAGTAATTCCCTGGAATGTTTTCCAAGATTCGATTGTTAAAGTCCAGTTTCTCATTAATGGCTCTGAATGGTTATGATTGGAATTTTAAAATTCTTTTCTCCCTCCCTCTCTCTCTCTCTCTCTCTCTCTCTCTCTCTCTCTCTCTCTGTGTGTGTGTGTGTGTGTGTGTGTGTGTGTGTGTGTGTGTGTGTGGCAGGGTGGAGGCATTGGCAGTATGAGCGATGGGGGTGAAAACTGTGATTTCAGGATATTTGGGCTCTGAAGGCAAACACTAGAAATAAAGTATCTTGCAAGGAAGAAAAAATGAAAGATAACCATGAGTTATATATTTCTAGGGCAATGCAGTTTTCATTTATGATTTGCTTAATAAATATTTGCTGAGACCTTTCCTGCATCAGCTACTGCGCTAGGCACTGGACAGTAAGATATAGAACTTACCCTGTGGAGGCAGCTACCTCAAGACAGGCTATTCAATATGATGCAGTGAATTCTGTAGTGGAAATACTTGTGAAGCACTATTAAAGAAGAAGCATTAGATTGTAAACTTATTGAGGGCAGGGCCTGAGTCAAATTTACTTTTGTGAGCTCAGCCCTTAGCTCAGTGCTTGGCACATGGTAAGTATTGTACTTGATAAATCTTTAATAATTAATTAAATGAATGAATGTTGTCC